TTTTTTTTTTTTGTTTCCTTGCTTAAAAATATTCATATGTTGCAAAAAAATTTTTTGAAAAAAATTGAAAGCAAAATAAAAGCGTAATGAGAAATTGCAAAACTTAGAGACGTCAAATTCAAGCTACCTGCATTTTCCAACTTAAGTTCTTTTGCTGACAGATCACAGCAAATTGTTGCATTTTTTTGCAGATAACTGAATTGTTGAGAACAAACTGTTCCAATTATTTGCTTTTTAGTTGCCATAAATTTTCTGTTTTTCTTTTTTTTTTCTTTTTTTTACTTCTTCATACCTGCTTCAAACTTTTTTTCACAACTGCAGTAAAAGAAATGGTATTTTTTTAAATCAATGCTTTGCTAAAGACTAAAAAAAAAAAAAGCAGTTGAAAAAGAAAATCAGATATTTTTTGCCATTGTTGCAGAAAATAAACAGTCATTTGTCAAACCTTCAGCCGAAAATCCAAAATAAAATCAAACAAAAAAATTCAGATACAAATATAAACTGTCAATAAGTGTTATAGAGTTGATACAAAATATCATCATCTTTACAGCCAACATCTGCCATCAGCTAACTAACTGCTCCTTTCAAGCTGCAAAGGTTCGGTTACAAATTCAAAAAATTTGGTTACAAAAAAGAAACCAAAATTGTTCTGCTTGGAAGTCTAAGAGGCATCTTTTTTAGCAAAACTGAAACAAAACGGTATAGTAGTACTGGTGACTACCTCACCCCAAAAGAATAGCCTAAAGAGTGTTGTTGGTAGCAGTGTGTGTGGATAATAGATTCTCTCAAACAAAATTTGCATCAGATACGACGAAGAAGATTTGAGTTATATCACCAAATTCAACTACGTTCCAACCGCTTTACAAGCTGTCGACGATCAACTGTCAAAGACCTGTTCTTTCAATCTCTTGAAATCAACAGATTCTTCTTTTTTGTTAGCCGTTTTCAAACTTGCATAATTTCTACATTATTTGTTATATCACCGTTACGATTAATTGACATTAACGAAAATACAGACCAACAAAATAATGCTTAAGACTTAGATACTAGCAGAAGAATGAAGCGATGGGTAATCAGCATCAAAAAACGTTTTGTATTTCAATATTCCCAAGCGAATCACAGAAGTTTAATACAAGCATAACAAGCAATTTTAGAACTTTAAGGAAAATGCTCCTGCTGGAACGTCATTCAAAAAAGCAATAAGTGTTGACTTTTACTTTAAAGTAGCAACATCCTTCTGCAAAAAAGCTTATTGGAATTTACATATCTAAAACGCCAAAAGAAAATGAAAATTTGCCGGCGGAACTACCAACAAGAACCATTTGTCATTCTGTCACTAAACGTTTCGTTTAGACAAACTCCGATTTTCTTCTCATCTAACATCAACATTTGGTAAAGAAATGAAGCAATCTAAGCATTGCTCCTGAATTTTTTTCATATACAAAAACTAAAAGCACTGGACAGCACATCTATCAGCCATAAGTCAAAGACATACTACATAGAACGAAAAATTTCCAATTCAACCAGTGCACTATTTCCAGCGTCCAAAAGAAACAGCCATTTAGCACTCAAGTTTTTCAAGCTGTTTTTTACAGTACAGAGAGAAAACGTTTAATATAAAGATTTTTGCAGTTTCAGTTCCTATTTTTCCATCGATATTACATGAAAGAACTAAAAAATCTTTAAATTAAAAACGTTAAACATGCTTCATGAAAGATGTGCTCCTTCGAACCACTTAATCGGAGTGGCTTAGAAAATGTCCGCCTTCAACCGTTCGCCCCTTCACCTCACCACCCACCAACAAAAGGAATAGTGGAAAAGTAACTGGTTTTTACCAACAAAAAAATTATTGCATTGTTTGATTAAATAGAAAAAAATTGGTCCTTTAAATTTCCAAATCAATACTAATAATATTCGCGAAAAAAACTTCAAAAGCCACCTTATATCTAATGCAATTGTGATCGAAAAGTCCAAATAATCCACCTGCATCCAAAACGATGTCACATTCAAGCAAGAAAAATGGAGACAATAACAGAAAAACCTTAACAAAGCACTATTGCTAAAAAGGTTACAAAAACTTATTTCGCGAATGGCAAACACCTAACCCGTAAAATAGACAGAAAAAATGTTATTTTGTCCTTCTTTCCCCCATTTTTGACTAACATTATCTTGCAATCCTTCCTTCTGAATGACCAAATTTAATCTACAGTTACATTAAAAGGGGGAAAAGAGGAGAAGATTACTAAGAGAATGAAAAGAGAATTACGAAAAAAAAAAGAAATTTTCTTTATTCATAAACAGTTATCTAAAGCATCAAAACAACTTGAGGATCAGTAAAAATGCAGCTTTTTGCAATCAATATAACGACTGTTGACGTCTATTAAACTTTTTTTTTGTTCCTTAAAATGGTAATGATATGTAAGATGATAATAAAATAAAACTTGAAGTTAATTACAGTAACAATGTCATCCATAGGTGCTTTTTTTTCATGATATGGTAGACTTATACAATCTTAGAATTGTTCACATATCACCCGGAACAAGTTCACTGCCCCACAGTATGCACAACAATAAAGTACAAAGAACAACAGTGGTAACAAAAAATAAA